TGGTCTCGAACTCCTGAGTTCAAACAATCCACCCACCTCGGCCTCCGAGAGTGCTAGGATTATAGGCGTGAGCCACCGGCGCCCAGCCCCTTCTCCATGTTTTAATGGTAATACTTTGTTTAGTAATACTAAGAAGATGGTTATTTTTATTTTTTAAAAAAATATAAAAATGTGCATAAAAGCAGTTTTTGACTTTTTATCATGAACCACAGAAATATAAAGATGCTAATATAATAACCACGGTAAAAGAAACAATGGAATGTCTTAGAATAAACAGGTACTTGTGTATCAGGATGTGAACTTGTAGAACAGATACAGAGGCAGCACAGAAAACGGAAGACAGAGAAAGTATTTTCACAAATCTCTTTTATAAGTATTAATACATGCAGATTCCTCTATGAAAGTTGTCTTTTATAAACCTACTTGCATCACTGACTCAAACCACAAAGTAGTTGCTTGAACAAAAACAAAATAAAACCATGATATACACATACTGCCTTAACCATATGTGGTTTGAAAACTTCCTGTCATTTACTGCATGCTTTCTATCTCTCATAAATATACTTAGAATCTTCCCCCTTCTCCCACCCTGTCATGATCTCAATCTTCATGCTTTTGAGTCACTACTAAGAATAATATATTAAAACGTTTTTGATCACATCATTGCCAGTTTCAATGAGATGGAGGAAGACGGTAGAAGAATGAGAGGGCATAATAAGATTTTCTGAATGGTCCTTTATTAGGATATATTTCTATACTGATTTTCTAATACTTAGCCTGACTCTGTCATATATAACACTTACTGTCACAGCAAAGCCACAGTTACCGTTAGTGGGAGTATAAATTGGCAGAATTGCTATAGAGAACAATTGCTAACATTATCAAAATTATAAATGTATGAGCCCTTTAACCCAGGAATTTCTCTTTAGCAATCTCTTCGGTAGATATGCTTACTGCTTATAAAACATACACAGTGATTCATATGCAAGGTTATTCAACATCACTAGGCATTACTATTTATAATAACAAAAGATTAGGAATAGATTAAATGTCTATCAGTAGGGGACTGACTAATAATAGGATATCTGCAACAGACTACTATGCAATAGAAAAAAAAGTATGAGGATAGCTGTCATGGACTGATAGGAAATGATCTCCAAGATAAATTATTCAGTGAAAAAGGCAGAGTACAGAACAGTGTGTGTAGAAAGCTGCCATTTGTGTAAAAAAGGGAAATAAATAAATACACACAAACACATGCTTATATACAAACATCTGTCTGAAAAGTACACGTGAGATAGCACTGGCTGCCCCTGGAGAGGGGAACTGCATGGCTGGAGGATAGGGTTAGGAAAACTTCCACTGCTTGCCCTTTTGCACGGTTTGAGTTGTGAATGTTGAGTATGTTTCACCTATTTAAGAAATGATTACAAATACATGAAACACATATTTTTAAAAGTCTGTTGAATAGATAAGAAAAGTATAGTGAATGTTAATCAAGTTAAGACTAGATAGCCACATTCTAGCTTCAGGAGAAAGGAGGAATTCTACAATTTACATGGGAAAGAGGAACAAAGATAACAAGCAAAGATACATCAAACATATGTACTATGATGTTTCCTTTTAAACACTGCAGTAGCAATAATTTTTTTTTTTTAAAGCATTCAAAGTACCAGAAGCAGATTTAAAGGTCTGAGCAGCCCTAATTTAAAAATTTGCCATATTTTATTTCCTGGGCATCAAGTTTTTATAAGAATCTTGAAAATCATCCAAAGAAAACAAAATTAAGCACAGAATTCAAACTTCTAAAGATTTAAATTTTGTCTTCAATTTCCTCCTTCCAACTTCCACCAATACAATTTTCCATATGATTTTAATGATGACCCATATGCCATTAGAGTGATTTGGGATAGACTATACTAAAAGTAAAATTTT